AAAAAAATATTTATAACGTGTTGGAAAGAAAGAGTTTTCAGATTTCAATTTATCGAGACAAAGAATATACATTAACAATTAATTCAAGCAAGGTAAAGTTATTAAAAGGTATAAATCCTTACTAATAGACTAATTAAAAGTAAAACAATAAATAAATAGACAGATAAAAAGTGAATTTTAATTCCAATGAATTATAACATTTTACAAATTACAATTAAATAATATTCTTCATTTACTTTAGTAATATTAAATTCGTGGACTTCTTTTCCATATTCGATGTATTGAAATAATTTAATGTTAAAGCAACAAAACTTTATATAATATTGCAAATTAATATAATGCTAAATTATCAAGAGATGGTGGTAATAATCGATCGAGAGATGAACAGTGCCCGAATGTGCTCTCCGGTGGAACCGCACTGTCGTGAAGCCAAGAGAATTCTGATCTTCATCCGTGTTCGGGGAAGTTTCCATCTGGTCGGAACCCAGGTACGCAATAGGGGATTTGTATCAAATGACAATCTGGGAGAGCTTCGTTCTATGCCTAACAAGACCTTTGACTGTGACATAACGCAATTTTCACTTGCCGAATATGAACAACATTTGGACAAAGTTACGTTAAAATAACAGATGATATCTGTGCCATATGCCCGCCTTGGAACCAAGAAACTTTCTCGAACACATAATTTTTTTCAAATTTATACACGTTACATTATTTCCAATATATAGAGTATCATATTCTTTGTACTATCATAAATAACTTAAATGATCATAATTTAACAATAAATTAAAAATTAATACTAAACGTGATTCTTTAAGCGTATTTTGCTATTGTCGATAGTGTAGAAAGTTAGTTACCTCGTATATAGGAAGGCATATCGAATCGATGAAGCCAACTTGCATCATTGGCAGTTGGTCCTCCTTCTCGCGGTTCATAATGTCCTGCAATATCATATGAGTAACGATGCTATTTTTAAATCATGAATAGTTACATTAATTGCACAAATTTTAATACAATATTTTGAGAAGAAATAAGTTATAATTATTAATGCTGGTAATAACTAGAAAGATATTATTCATAAAATAGTATATTATGTTATGTTAAATTACAGAAAAACAAACTATTTTAAATTTTCCTATAAATTAGTGATTTCTTAAATGTATTATATGTATCAAAAACATCTCTATCAATGATAATAAAAACAAGAATCATTGGTTTACCACAAAATGTTATTTTTATAATTATTCAAAAGAAAACGAATTATTTCAATTTTCATTAGAAAATTAGAACATTTTCTGTATCATTAGAACTATCTTTTTACTACTTTTATACTACATCATCATATGCACAATAGATAAATTCACTTTTCCATTAAACTTCACTCAAAAAAACAAAAGTTATTTTAACAGCAAAAATTATTTACTAAATATTTCTTATATCATATCATATATGATGCAATTATTTTAGTTACTATTTGTTATAGCTAGGTCAATTTGTCTATTACTTAGAACTATGTTGTAATTATATTATAAATATTAAAGTTTAATTTAACAATACATACAATAGGAGTGATATTAAGAGTCCGCCTTTCGATATCTCCTTGTTCGAAAAATTCACTGCTAACCAATTCTGCCACTCTCTTCTCAACTTCCCAGGGTTTAGTTATAGCAGCTAAATCACACACGGTCATCAACATTCCTCTTAGAAGTTCCCGGTGATCACTGTAAGCCCAATTGTAACCACCATTTTGAGCTAAGCCAAGAAAAGCTCCTCTTCTCCGGAAGTAAACTGCTAGATCGGTAGAGAGGATTGCTTCTTCCAGAACTTTTACCACACGAGAATATTCTTCGGGAGATAAATTTGATAAAATTTGATTTCCTTGACTACTCAGTATCATAAGACACTGATCAAAATGATGATGTTCCATCGTTGATGTTGAGTAAAGTTGTGCCAATGGCGAAGACGCTCTGTAAGTCATAGAATTATTTTTTCCGAATTAGAATTATTATTTAAATTTTTACTAAAACAATGATTGTTTCCTGTTTATAATATTTATACTCACTTGATTTGAAAAGAATTATTCGTACCCCGATGATCCAAATCGTGACACAAACAGGCAATAATTAATGCAAGACACTCAATTTCTCCAAAAATTTTCCACCATTGCGTGGCCTGGAAAAATAATATAAATACAATATTTTCAATACAATTTCATATAATTTAAAATATAATATTTATCCCTCCATTTACTTACAGTTAGAATGGCAAACATCATTTGCGCAACATTGAACGCGTGACGCCAATTATGATATGTGACATTTCGATAATTCTTTTTTACACTAAGAAGCCAACGACAAAGGACATCGTAGTCAATATGAAAACGTTCCACGAAATCAAGATCCAAAAACATTCGAAGACACGCTGTCAGAGTTTGGTCGTCTTCCATATGAATGTCATCAAATTTGAAATCGTGCAATTGAAAATACGCTGCAGAAGGCACTCTTAAACCCTAAAATTATGTATCAAGCAAATTTATTCTGAATTATATGAAGCACGTAAATATTATCAAAGAGTGATTTTCAAATTCCCCGCGATAAATAAAAGAAAGATCAAATTTTGTTCGATTTTTAATATTTTTAGTTTAAAAGTAGCTGGACTTACCCTTAATCTTTGTGCATCCTCCAATGATGCGGAAGCATGGTAACTAAGCACTTCTAATGTGACACTTTGTTTGGCCATTGCTATCACAGCTTTTTCATACCTAGAAGTAATCATTAAACAGAATCAATTATAGGAAATTCATTTGTTCCAGTCAATTAATACATTTGTATTACATAATACGATAATCGGTATTTCTATTTTTATAAATATTTTAGAATGATTAAAACAAAATGATTATTGACAAAATATTTTAATGAATATTATAAAATGGAAAACGCGCTTTGATTATAATACAGGGTGACCCATAAATAATATTCAAATGGTAAATCTACAAAATTATACAAAAATAATATATCAAAATCTACAAATAATATGAATGATTAGAAAACATTCGTAATTATTTCGTGTAACAACACACACTACTAAGTTCTTTAATAAATCCTGACCTCGCATAATATTTATGAACAATATCAATCAATTTGAAAATATATCAGGCATTTTCAAACGAGTATAGGATTCGATGATAAAGTTGATGTTGAAACGCAAGAAGTTAAAAATTTTCTTTGATCATCCATAATTTAGAAATTGAAATACATATATAGTATTCATACTGGCGCATAGATTATTGAAATATTGATACATGAATCATCTTGTATGAACATGTTACTTATAAAAATTGAATATTTCGTCCTATAGGCAGAACGGGATATTTAAATTTCGCAATGCAGTCAAATGATTTGATGAATTATCAAATGATTCGATTAGTTTATTCCTTGAATATTTACATGTGTGTATTGTGAATTCCCATGCCGCAGAAAATAGCAAATGCCTCAACGAAGTTCTCGTCATTCTTTGTAAAGACAAGATCGTCGAATTTGTTGATGAGTTGAATAACGCCGATAATCTGACCGGACGAGTTCTTGATAGGCATGCAGAGAATAGTGCGATGCCTAAATCCAGTGCCATCGTCTACCGATGGATCAAATCTTGGATCGTCGTAGGCGTTCGGTATATTCACGGTCTG